TTTTAGCCTATAAAAAAAAGAAATAACAAATAATACAATAAAATATTGCTGTTTTAGCCTATTCAAAAAAAGAAATAACAAATAATAAAATAGAAATATTGCTGTTGTAATAATTTTTTTATAAAAAATTATAAAAATAAAAATACTGATGTTGTATTCAAAATAAAATCAGTTATTTTGTATTATTAAAAAGATGAAATAAAAAAAGATTGGTCTTGTATAAAATAAAAAAGAAATATTGCTTTTGTATAAAAATTAAATAAAAATATGACTGTTATATATATATATATATATATAATATATATATAAAATAGTTCTCTTGTATAAAAAACAAACAAAAGAAATATTGGGACGAATAGAAAAAATATAGAAAAATAACACACAGGTATATCAGTAATAATTTGACGCAAAAGCTCCAAGCACAAATAATCGACAGGGAAAGTCTTAATTGCCCATGTCATTATTCAGGAGTTCTTGGTAAAGACAATTGATCTTTAAAAAAAAAAAAAATTCTATCTTTCCTTAAAGATCTATCGTTATCAGTGTGAAAATGCATCAAGAAATTAAACCATTTCAAGTATTCTGTGTCCCCGGCTTAACTTGTAGCTACGTGCAAATTATGTGTAAGTTATATATTTACAAAATATCAATGTTGTTATATCTTGACATATCAAAGTGTAGACTATGACATAAGTTGTAAGTTGCAAACTCTTCAAATGAAGTTTCGGCTGTTATGACTGGAGGACCGATAGATGGCGATGTTGGACTTGTGGCGCAAAATATCCAAAGAAGAGAAGGACTGGACAGCAGGCTCGTAAACAGAACAGAAACGCTGCTGGACTGTCATTTTTAATATTTCATTTAATTCCTCATTAGAGCAACTATAAAAAAACAGAAACGGTTTCCGGTAAGACGGCGCTTTATAGATTAATTGTTGTTAAAAGTCTCGAGCTCTTTGCTTTCGGTAACGTTAAAGTAACCAACTAGTTTATGCTGCATACATATATCATTATTACCACTTTAAAATCTATAATATATTCAATTTGATTTGTGATTTCTCTAATAATGTATGTATTTTTTCATTTATTGATCTGATGAATTATGATAATCAACTCAACTATAGTTTATGCTTTATACATATAGTAATATTACCACTGTAAGTTTGTAATATATTACATTTGATTTGTGATTTCTCTAATAACATATGGATGCACTTATTTATTATTCATATTCATCTTATTGCTTGTGTTAAAATCTAGAAAGATTTTGATTTTAGTAACTGCATAATTTCAATACTGATATTAAAGTATTTTATTGTGAAAGGTTGAAAGGTTTTTGATCTTTGGTCACTGCATTATTTCCAAACTGTCATTTCTATATGAATATGTTTTAATTGCTTGCTTATTATTTTATTGTGAAATAAATAAATGAATGAATGAGTCATTTTTTTCCAAACTGGTTTTGTATAAAGACTGATCATGGATGTACCAGAGGCCAGTCACTCTCAAGAAGCACCAGCAGATTCTGTAAACTCTTCACACGAGTCCAGCTTGTCCTTAACACCGCACATGTTGGCCAAAATAGAACGGAACAGACAACGGGCATTGATGCTCAGACAAGCCAGGCTCGCCAGTAGACCGTCTTCAGCTATAGAAGGCATGTGTTTGGAAACTGCACAACACATACAGTACTTGAAATTGCATGAATTTCGCTTATTTAAGATTGTGTACCTAATTTGATCATATACCATGGATTATAATAATCTGTCTTCCCTCAGGTGCTACTTGTGCTAAAGTTGCAAAAACTATAGACTCTGGTGCAGGGTTCTTTATTGAAGAGGAGACGGCAGAGGATGAGCAGCAGGAAAAGAGAGTGGTCCAGCAACCAGGTGACCAAAAATGGCATCGCATACATGCACACAATTGTTTTAAATATCCATTTTAATGAATTAATTAATTTCATGTAAGTGCTTTAACAATAAAAGCATGCTTAATGACTGTTACCTGCCCAATAGACATCCTTTATAATACTGAGTGACAAATTAAAACAATTTTATGTGTGTGTTTCAGCCCCAGTGATGGAGCCTGATTATCTGATGTGTGAGGAGTGTCAGAAGCCATTTATGGACTCTTATCTCAGCAACAGTTTTGATTTGTCTGTGTGTGATAAATGCAGGTATGTCATTCATTCTGTACGTGGTCACAGTGGGTTAAAACATACTGTTAAACTTGTTACAGAGAGTTTCCTGGCTGGTGTTGTTAGTATAATGTAGTTGTTTTTGTCTCAGTATTTCAGTTCCGTTTCTTTATTGTGTTTCCTGTGCACCTGCAGTTCAACAAGTGCTCAAAACAAGTGCTGTAATGTGTATGCGTAACTTATTTTATAATTGCATATGTTTGCATAGAGACAATGAAGTGAAGCACAAGCTAATATCTCGCACTGAAGCGAAACAGACTTTCCTTCTGAAGGATTGTGATCTGGATAAGAGGGAGCCACTGCTGCGATTTATCCTGAGGAAAAATCCTCACAATCCACACTGGGGAGACATGAAACTCTACTTAAAGACACAGGTAGGTTCAACATATCCTCAAGCCAGAGCTGTAAATATAACCTGATCTCACTCAACCCAGTTAAATTCAAATCCCTTCTAAGGATATATGAAATTAGTTTTTGTTTGTTTTTGAAAGAAGCTCCTATGATTGCCAAGACTGCATTTATTTGGTCAAACGTAGTAATATAGTGAATAGTATTGTGAAATATTTTTACAATTTAAATTAACTGTGTTCTATTTTAATATATTATAAAATGTAATTTATTCCTGTGATGTCAAAACTTTTCAGCTCTAAGCTTTAGTGTCACACGATCCTTCAGAAATCTTTCTAATATGCTGATTTGGTGCTCTAGTAACATTTTTATTAATTATTAATAAATGATTGTTATTGTATTAAATTATTGTTTTCAATGAAAACAGTTGTGCTGCTTAATATTATTTGTGGAAACCTTGATACATTGGTCAGGATTCTTTGATGAATACAAAGTAAAAAAAAACAGCATTTATTTGAAATAGAAATCTTTTGTAAAATTATGTCTTTGCTGTCTTTATTTACCTTGCTAAATAAAAGTATTAATTTCTTAATTTTTTATTATTATTCATTATTATTAATTATGAGCAAACATAACAATAATGACCATTACTATATTTAATAATTAACTATAAATCCAGAATAATAAATGTTATTATTATACCTAATGCATCAAATTAACAAATTAAAAATTGAAGTGGTACTATATCATCCAACGGAATTCTTATGTGTGTTTGGTTTGTTGATTTTTGTATACCATTTTGTTTTATTTTATTGAATGTTAAGGTGGAAAAGCGCTCTCTGGAGGTATGGGGCAGTGAGGAAGCTCTGGAGGAGGCCAAGGAGAGTAGAGAGGAGAACAGGGAGGTTCAGAAGCAGAAACGCTTTAATAAAAAGGTTAAAGGTATGAAAGCTGACCAGCCTAGTGCATTACTCTTAGACGGTCAGATTTAAAATGTGCGCTAAAATCTTTTTCCACTTGAAAAGGTTGTACACCTAGAGAGATAAATAGTAATTCACAAAATTCTCGTGAAACAAAATTAATTTGTGCACCTTCAAATGAACGAATAAACCGAGACTTAATTTGTTCACATGACTACATTTGGTCACATTGTGGAATTATACATTGCTCTCAATCTTCGTCTGGCTTTCAGAGCTGAGGCGGGCGGTAAGGAGCAGTATGTTTAAGAAAGATACCAGTATCCATCAGCATGACTACGGCCCTGAGGAGATTCTGGACGAAGAGGAAGATCTCTACAGGAAAGTGTGTCAAACCTGTGGACACGAACTCACTTTTGAGAAAATGTAAATGCGTCTTCAAACTACTGTACAGGGAAGAACCAGGTCCGGATGCAGGTCAGCGAAGAGTAATCCCGATCACGTTTCTGGTCCTCGACACATTCCTTTGGCTCGCAGTCCAGGTACCAATACAGGTTTGCATCAGTTTTCACTTGAACTTATCCGACACTCCTGTCCTAACCAACATAGTGGCGCTGTTTTGTTTTGATGCCTTCTGAAATGTAGAAGCATCAGCAGTAGCGTCAGATAAGAGTTTGCTGCACTAGATTTGATCAGAAGAGGGCACTGTAGAGCTACCATTTTGAGAAAACTGCAATCAAAATGATAGATGATGTAAGGTTGCGTTTTCGCCGTTTTGGGGAGAGTATACTGTTGAACATGTTCTATATCTGTGAAATGGAGAAGAAAAAATACTAAGGAAATATATGAAATATTACACCCTTTCAACTGTGTATTTAATATTTAGGACCTGACTATCAAAAACCTGCTCTTTCACATGTGATATTATTATAAATGACAAGGCAAAAGCACTAAATGGGCCAAAGTTGAGCTTGTAACAGGATCTCGTTTCTCAGTCTCCTACCTCGTAAAGTCCAGTGCCTGTTTGTTCGGCGAGGGATTTTGATGATTCCATACGTAGACTGAGAGATTCTCTCACGGTGTTGTGTTTCAGTCTCTCTGTGACTATTGAAAGTATCCGACAAGGAGCACAAACACACTCTTCGTCCTCACATTTCGTGCCAAGGTTGCTAGATACTTTTTTGCTGTATTATAAACAATGAACTTAGCCTATGAAATGTTTGTAATAAATTTTTTACAAATTAGAAAATGTGTCTCCATTCTGTGTTTACATTGTCCATTATCAGCTTTTATTATCTGATGTCTCAATGACCGCAAACATGCATATTATTATTCTTCAGGGACGCATATGATCGGACCAGCGACCACATGGCCACTTTTATCATGGCAAAGCTTGTGTATGTGAGTAAGAGTGAATGTGTGATCATTCCTTTTGTCATGATGTCCACTAAGGCAGGGTTTCACATGCCTTGCATTGCTGTCATAATTTGTGTTCGCCCTATATCTTGTTAGCTTTTTTGTCTCTATCCCATTTAGGCCACTGTAGAATATGACTAAACGAAGGACACCTCCTCCAGTAATATCCTATATTTATTTTATGATAACCTTCTAATAATATAATACAAATGTATATGTTATTATTGTTGTCAATGAAAAAAGTTGAGCGGCTTCATATTTTTGTGTTTTTTTCTGTTTTTTCAGGATTCTTTGATGAATAGAAAGCAGCATTTATTTGAAATGTATTTTATTTTGTAACATTTTAGAAGTCTTTACAGTCAATTTTGATCAATTTACCCCAAACTTTTAAATGGTAGTGCATGTGCAGAGCTTGTTGGTTGGTTTTCCATTAGCTCTTTCTCATAGCTAGCTGTTACCATAATTTATAAGGCACATGTTCACTGCTTCAGACCATACATTTTCCTCCCATTGATTTAATGGCCTGCATATTAATTTTATCGGGCTATGTCGAAACTCATGTGTGAACTATTGACATACTATGGATGCAAAATTATTCAACAGTGTTAAAGTCACAAAAGGGTAATGAATTCATTCCTCAAGCCCTTTTAGTGGGGCCTTTTTATTTCTGTTCTCATGCCTAGTGCGTTCTTATGACCTAATTGTGAAGTCTCAGCATAGCAGTTCTGAAATTCAAAACCCTCCACACTTTTATCATCATTCACACTGACTCAACTAATGCACACAGGGACATGAGATGAGCTGTCTACTAAATTGTCCACCTGCAATCACATAAGTACTGTGATAATAGGTCTAAAAGTCTTTTTGTTGATAGTTACAGGCGAATAATAATAATAGGTATAGCCTAATATTAGCTAGAAAATAAACTACTTTTACAGGTACATCTATTTTGTGCCATGAAACGCTGCTTTTGCTAGATATAAATTGTAAAGATTGCTTAGTGTCTTCTCCTGTGCTGCTGATGATGTCCCCAAACCCCTGCTGACCTTTAGGGTCAAAGTAAGGCCGAAAGACCAGCAAAGCACAGCAGAGTGAGAATGAGAAGGACATTCCACGCTAATGCCTGTGCTTTGATTAATGGCATTCATGATTTGCCACCTGCTGTTTTATATGGCCCTCTGTGAGTAACTGATCTTGAAGTGCTTGCATGTGTGTGGTGTCCACATTTTAAATAGCTGCCTAAATTTAACAGCTTTGTAGAGGTCGTTAAAAATTCAGACACTGACAAGTTTGTAAGCAGTTTGTGTTCTGGTGTGAATTCGACCACTCTGAAGCATTTAATCTAGTCTGTTATATAGGCAGCTGTCAAAGTGGATCCATCGTTTACCGGTTCGGACTAATGATGGTAATACATGAGATGAGTGCAGGCCCAACTACTCCATATGCAAATACTTTACATACTGTTAGCAGGTGTCCTAAATAGCCCCGTACCCGGCTCCTCCACGGCTCTGGAGGATAGATTAACCATGGCCGGGGAGGGGTATGTGCAGCCTGGAACCTTTTCCCCCCAATTTTTGATATATTTTTAAGTCAAATTCTCTACTCATTAAATGTTTAGATCGTTTCTGTTGCAACTACTGCTACAACAAAAGGTGCACTCCGTGTTTTTATTTTTTAAGTTTGCAAAAAATCAAGAATCCTTGTGCTGCTGGTGACCTCTTTTCACCCACAATTCTTTAAATGGAATTAAAAGTTAGACGTAATGCTTAACCATAACACTTTATAACAACGTTCATTGAGTTGATAAACACTGTAAAATGTTTAATAGTCCATGTGCATTCAGATAAGTAGTTGGTAACACTTTAAATTAAGGTTCTATATGTTACAACTAGTTAATGGAATAGTTAACATGAAATATGAACAATAGCATTTATTAATCTTCGTGAATGTTAATATCTATGAGTACTAATACATTTTCAATATTTCAAATGCATTTTTTTAAGTTGTTCATTGTAGTTTCTGATAACATTCATTAATGTTAACATTTTTAAACCGTTCTGTAAAGTGTTACCAAGAAGTCTACATCAATATGCAGGACAAATAAAAAAAATATATCCTGATTTTATTTTTTTATTTTTTGTTTGTAACTATCATACAAAAAATTATTGGACTGAGAAATGTATTTACTGACATATAGTTATTGAGACCTTCCCCATGTGACATCTAGCCCTGGTCTTTCATAAGTTATTGTAATGTGTTACCAAAGTTTCAGAATTGAACTCTATTCTCCCCTCACGGTGCATTTTAAAAATTAGGATTTAGGCAAATATGCTGTTATTAGACTGGATGTCACCATCTTAGATTTATTGTCTCCTTTCTAATTGGATGCCATGATTTCAGACTGTCATATCCCTCACACTTCTGCAGTTGTTCTTTTCTCTCTTTCTTTGTTGGGTAGTGGTTCTCTTGTCTCTTTCCCAAAGCCAACTTGCCTTCTGTACGGTTGGCAGCAGGCACTGGCTCTAATACGGGCATGCAGCTGTCGTGGGCCAGAGGCGGACATTGATAACATTCAGTTGACAACAAATGTTTCTATACTCGCGTTATGTATGCGGTTATGCGCTTCTAGGAGGCGGTCGCCCACAATAGACCTGTGGCTCTTCTTGAGCATAGTGTTTTGCTCTAAGCTTTGACGGCTATGACATGATGTCTAATAATACCTGTGTAGAGTAGTGGAGAATAGGGTAAGATGTGCCGTCCCCTTGATCTAGGAAACTGCTCACTATTTATATATTATATTAATATTTATTAAGGACCCATATATAAAGCTGCCTGTGATTGAGAGATGAACATGAAATCTGAAACTGATGAACATTGTTTTGATGCAACTGTTTTTGCCTGTCAAAATAAACTTTCTAGACAAAAATTATTTTAAACTAAATTCATCAGAATATATATACTATATACTGTATATATATATTTCAAACTTGCTAGTCAATTTCCAATGTATCAAACTATTTTTTTTCCTATGGCTAAAGGTTAGCTCATCTATTACACAAACATTTTTATTACAGTGGTTGAACTAATAGTCATAGTTCCTGCATTTAGATACAAATCTTACAAAACTTAATATTAAACATGTGCATGGGAACACAATTTCTTTGTAAGTTCAAATAATTTGAAAGTTCACTGTTAGAGAGAATCCTATCAAAGGACACTATTAATATTTTTCCAACAATGGACTAACATTTAATAGTATACATTTCACTGCTGTCCTGAAGATTGTAATAATGTATCTAGTTTGTTCAGTCCACTCAAGAACATTTCTTTTTTTGTTTGTTTAAATAAAAATATTATTTGTTGTATTTAATTATTTTTAATTAGTAATTTATTTAATTAAATAATTATTTAAAAGATATAAATAATAGGGTACATTAAATAAAATCTAAAAATATAAATCCTTCTTAAGTCACCATCTGCATCTTGACAGTTTTCAAGTAGGCTACATACTTGAAAAGCTCTTAGCACTAAAATACATGCTTTCCTCTTTCTCACGCTGCATATAATCATTTTCTTAAAAATAAATTTACCAGATAAATGAAACATGGAAATTAGTCATTATCATATTCGTATATCAAAGTACCATGGGTTTAAGACTGATTTATGATAGATGTTATATATCTTTTGTGAGCAAATATGGGATAATAATTTTTTTTATATAGTTTTCCCCCCCATATTTTTTTATTAAAACGTAGGCCTAAACTGCTCACGTACTCCTCAAAAAGCTCATCCTATCCCCTAACATGACACTGTCACAATTTAATGTCAGCTAGTCATCGTTTAGAATTACGTCATCATTATCATTACTAGACACATGATAAGTGGTAAGGGGATCATACCTGTGCAGTGCGACTGCTCTCTCTCTCTCTCTCTCTCTCTCTCTCTCTCTCTCTCTCTCTCTCTCTCTCTCTCTCTCTCGTCGCCTCAGTGTCTCCCTCGCTCACTTTCCCCTCGCGCACAGGTCCAGTTCAGTCACTCTCTCTCTCACACACACAAACCT